CTTTAAAAATACTGTTCATTTGCCTGAATATAAGATGGCCTCAGCCTCTTCAAACTAAGTGACTGATTGATGGGTAACAAATAGCATTTGCTTTGATAGAATCAGGCTGTCATCTAGTTTTTTATTCTTGTTCTTCTGTCTAAACAGTAGCATGTTGATCAGATCTGTATTTCTTTAAAGCATGTACAACTAAGCAAAAAAACCAACTGGTTATTTCTTGTATTTGCTGATTTGGACAATTTATGTAAAACGAGCAACAAATTAAAGAGTATAAAACACATTTTACACACTAGACTTCTATGAACCTGAAAACTGACAGATAATCAAGCTTCTTGGAACAAGTAATCAACCATTTTTGACAAGAGGATGAAGACAGGTACCAAAAGGGAACTGCACCTTTCCTGTGTCTGATTTGTGCTACAGCTTTTCATACTAGCTGAGAGTGTTACAGCAGTAACCTCTCTATATATTTGTGTGTGGGCATATGTACATTGTTAACAGATAAGGTGCCAATAGAATATGCTCAAGAACGTACAACATAATTCCTGGGTTTTGAAGGATTACAATTGAAAAAACTCATTTAAAAGACAACTTACTCTAGCAAGGCAATAGGCTTTGGTCAAGATCGTTTCTCTCCCCAGTCTTCCTTTTTCCCAGCCACAACTGACTATTCCCTCAACCAGGAACTTTCATAGCAGTATAAGATGTACTCCTGAAGGAAGTTTGTGCCAAAAAATTAAAAATTCTGCTTCACACACAAAATATTGGTGCACAATTATTTTAAAAATCTGAAAATTTTGTCAATATATGTGGAGTCTACAGGCTGCAGAGAGGCAGGAAAGACCCTTTTCCTGCTACTGAGCCTGACCCTGACACAGCACAAGGACTGGGATTGCTCCAGAAAGGCCCCACAGCCCTACCCCTCCAAACATGGCACAACAGGTGTGGGCAGGCAAATTCAGCCCAGCAGGATCCAAGTGTGGAGGTGCTTAGTGTGAGGGAATCCAGGTGTGGGATAATCTGAGTGGTTCATTAGGTGGGTCTCAGTGCAGGATGATCATTCACGTGAAAGTGGTTGACTTTGTTTCAAAAACCAGGATGGCCTCATGCTGTTTCTCCCTTCCTGTGGGTTTCCCATCCCCCTGTATGTAAACATGGCTTGCATTCTTTTTATTTCACCTTGCTTAGTCACATAGGAGATAGGTATACAGGTGTGTTTTTTCCTGTCTGGGAGGAAATCCTGTTTCTCCCTATCTGACCACAGACTTTAAACCATATCATCATTAAGTATCCATATTTCCTTGTCTCGTGTTAATACATACGTTACACAATGACATTAATCATCTGTGTCATTAGCTATTATAAAAGTCTTGCTCTATACACATTTATAATACAGTAAAATATTGCATACAGTTGATTTAATTGCAACTTGAGGTTGAGTCCTTCTCTTTATAAGCCTATAAAACTTTGAAATTGATTCTTTGAAAAGTAAAACCACACTAATTTACTCTCCTACTGGAGCATAGATATATGCTGTGTCCTCCCCCAATTATTGGTTTAATAGCTTTATTTACTTAGTATGTAAAAAAAGACCTTCATTGTCTTTGACTAAAGACTGGGCTGGTCTGAAAACCAAATACACATTCCTTTGACTAAGGCTTATGCATTGCTTGCCAAACACATTTTAAGAACATAATTCTAGCATATACTCCTGACTTTTTGTAAATACCCAGTACATACACCATGCAAAAATATTAATGATCAGTGAGCTATTAGTTTTCCAAAGATATCTTGCATGACACCCTTTTAGATACAGATTAACCACAGTGAGTTGTGGTGTAATGAACTGGTCAGGCCAGCAGAAACCCATTACCTGATTGATAACAGTGAGCTCCTTGCCTTCTAATACTGGGATGTTCTTAGTGTTATGGCTCCCACCTTGCAAAAATGCAGAAAGGCTAGCCACTGGCTTTTCTTGGAGGCAGCAGGTCAGAGCAGTCTTTAGTGAGCAAGCATTTAGAACTGTATTCTTTCCTTTTTAAACAAAAGAAACCTGTTTTGTCACCTTTTCACATTTACATTGTCCAGGATATACTATCAGACTCTATCCGTAATTTCACCTACTAATTGGTTACTAACATTTCATAGTGATATTAATGACCAGTGTGTTGTAACATTTAAAAAGATATATTACATGTCATCTTTAAACAAATATGAGGCCTGTATTTGATCTAATGAGTATGTCAGGGCTGGCACATTGCAGACACATAGTGGTAAATCACACATATGCCTCTATATCAGTTGTGCACTGCAAATGACTTTCTTTACACTGTTATTAGTCCTCAACTGTGTGAGAGATCAGACTTTCAGGGAATCTGCACCTAGCCTTGCTAGAATGAACAACATATCCTGGGCACAAAAAAACTCCGGCTACTTTTCTGGTTATATGCAAGTCTGTGGACAGTTACTCATAGTCAGCAGGGACTTGATCTATTTCCATGTATTTTAATGGGTGTTGAATTGGGACTTAAATAAGGTTTCACCGGCTAAGATTTTGAAACAGATTTTGATGTTACACTGGAGTCCTCCTCTTATTCTTCCATGCTAACTTTTCAGATTGCAAAATCTTAGATTCTCTAAGTGTCACAGCATAAAATTTTGCAGTTAACCTTATTGCAAAGCTTCTACTGCTAATGTTTCCCAAAGGATTGGTGAAGACAAAAGTAAACAACACTTCACTTTATCACCATGAATTTCCATTAGTCTTTTAGTATTCTGAGTGTCTTAATTTGGACACAAACACAGCATGTAGAGGCTCACTTGTCTACTTGTTATATCTACTGACATTCTTCTCTTCCATCATCACGTTATTTGGTCAACATATGATTTTAAATTATGACTAGCCAGTGCAATTATGTACAATAAACAATTTTATTTTAACATTTTAGGCACTTGTGTTTTATTGTTATTTTGTATCACAAAGTTAGAAACTGAAAAACTCATTTACATCTACAGTAGTCATGCTATAAAGTTAGATGTTCATTTCAAATTAAAAGTGAGTTAGACTTTTTAAAAGGCCATAACTGAAAAGATGTTTCATGTCTAAGACAGAATGCAACCATGCATACCATTTTCTTGATGCAGTGACCATCCAGAGTCATCATGCCTTAAAATAAAATATTAAAACATGGCTTCACTTTTCCAGTCAACTCAAATTGCCAACTTGAGAGTTTTTATACATTCTGATCTATGAGAGTTATTAAAATACCAGGGTGGATAAAAGTCAATGTTTTTAAAAAGAGAGTTTTAATTGAGATACATCATAGCTCAAAGATACCTCATCATGGAACATGGATTATGAATTCTAATTCATGTAATTTTTAAGAAAAATTGTTACCTGAGTTCCAATAGTTCATGGATTAAGGACCCAATCTTATGGGGTTCTGTATACATTATGTAGGTTAATCTTTCTATTAACACAATGGGACTCAGTGCTCAGTCTAGAACAGTGTTTCCCAAATGGTGTTCTACAGAACCTCTGCAGAGTTCCACAAGTGAAAATAAGGGTTCTGTGAGAAAATTCCATTACAATAACATTTTATGATTTTTTAAAAATAATTAATATTTAAGCATTTGTTAATTTTATTGAAACAATTTTCATTTGTTTGCCACAATAAGTGTCCCTATGTAATGCCAGCTTAGCCAGAGAGTGGGGATGAGCTTCCATACCTCAAGCGTGTTTTTGCACAAGTAAAATGAAAGAACAGAGGGGTTTTTCCGGTGTAGGTATTTCTCCTTTTATGAGAAATAACTCCTTAATGCGCAAGAGCTCTTGCACAAAACAGTGTGTGTGGATGGGGAACAGGTTTTTTTGCGCAAGAAGAGGAAATAGAAAAAAAGCACAGGTGTCCTGGTGGCCATTCTGTAAATAGCAATCAAAGTTTCCTTCGGAGAGAGCATCCATGCAGTCTGGATACTCTCTTGCGCAAAAGCGCATCGCTTTTTCAATGCGCTTTTGCAGTGTGGACACACTCTTGTGCAAGAAGCCAGTAGTGTAGACAGCCTGAGTCGTGAAGAACATGTATTAAGGTCATGACAACCAACAAGAATGCACTTTTATTAGAAAACCATGATTAAATCAAGTCCTTCTGATTAGTGATTTAAATCAGTTTGATTTAAATCAAATCCACCCTGTAAAATAGATTGCCCCAAATTCAAATGGTACTTTTGAAAAATGTTACACCTTTATCCTGAAAATAAATAAGCTAGTATGGATCTTTATATCCACTCAATCTTAACTGACTTGTAAGGTCAGGCCATAACTGCACATAGGTAGTTCATTTAACTTTGTATCTCATAAAATTATACAACTATTTGAAAAGAGTTTTACAAGTAATTTCCTAATGCCTACTCTTATTGTCAGTAGAGATACTGAGCTCACAAAACAATTGTAACTGGGTCAGCCACCTTCCATATGTCCCCTACACTACAGCCTCCTTCTGCTCCTTATAGAACAATCACCCTACTCTCTCCCAAGCAGGGCTCATTCCATAATCAGGGTTGACTAGCACTAGCCCTCTAGCCATTCAGGGGGAAGTCCTTGTTATAATCATCCTACTACCACATCAAAGCAAAAATCAAAAAAATCATAAAACAGTTTCAATCTTGCTTTTTTCCATAAGGATACTTTTACGATTATAATCTTAACCTTTACTATTTAAATCTATTGTAAAATGCTTAATGGAGTAACTCAAATGGAGAAGGTACATAAGAGCAACTTTGAAATGGCAAGTTATAAGGTGTTCAAAAATGTATTTATCTTTAATTATACTAAGCTTGTATTTTAAAGCATATTTCTTAATTATAATGCATAGTCACTTTATTGCTGATTTTTAAAAGTTATTTAATAACAAGCGTAATAGCTCTTTCTAGCTGTACAAGTTAAAGAACCAACTTCATAAGCATATATATATATGAAAACATAAGAATGAAACCAAATATCTTGAAAATATACTTTAATTACAGGATAACAGGAGATGATACAATTCTAATTGAATCTCAGAGAAAAGGAACAGTGATTTTTTTCCCCCACCATCTTTCATATTTGACCTGACAGTTCTAATTAGCATTAAACTCAGCAATTCCTTGTCAAGAGTCAATGCACAGTCAAAAACATTATCTCTGCGTAACATGTTAATTGACTTGTTTCTTGCAAATAGATGTTTTCTAGCATATTGCTGCAGAGCAGCTTTAAAGATATTCTCCAACGAATATTTCATTTTATCGTCTTGCTTTTTACAGTCAACTGCTGTTATACTCAAAGATTTCAATGTTTTATCAGAAATTTATTTTAACAAAGCAGGCACAAATTCAGAGAAAAGCTCAGTTAGTCCTGCAGCTTCAAATTCCTTTTGTAGCTCATCCAAAGTTGAATATTCTTTGACTTCAAATCCCTGAAACCTACATTGTACAAAAAAAAACCACATTAATATGCCTAGATTTGTCACAATGTAATTATCAATTCAGTTGCTTTTCTGTCGGCAATAATACTAAATTATACCTTTTTTGCTCTGTCTGTACTTTTGTTTCACTCAGTACACTAATCATTTTCTCTCTGCATTTCTTTCCGCTTGAGTCCACATCTACCTTACAGGTTTTCTGAAGAATCAAGTATTCCTATATGACAAAAAAATCAGAGTATGAAATGTCAACTATAACATCTCGGCAGTTTAGTTAAAGATCTATTCTAAATGCAAAGAGTCTGTTTCAGAACATTCTAAACAAACTTGGAAAGTGCTCACCCCAGTTATAGTGCCTGATGGAACTTGACAAGATTACTCACAGTGCTTAAAATTAAGCACATTCTAAGTGCTCTGGCAGAATCTAGCTTTATAAAGGAAAACACTGTTCTAGCATATCTAGGTCAAATACTGGACCCCCCAAGTTACTAGGAGTTCTATAAATGTGGATCCAAGAAGCTTAGACCCCAAAAGTATTTATTATAAGCTCATGGTATTCTGAGCACAGGCAGTCCCCGGGTTACGTACAAGATAGGGACTGTAGGTTTGTTCTTAAGTTGAATCTGTATGTAAGTCGGAACTGGCGTCCAGATTCAGCCGCTGCTGAAACTGATCAGTCTGGACACCAGTTCCGACTTACATACAGATTCAACTTAAGAACCCCAGGTGTCCCCAAGTCAGCTGCTGCTGAAACTGATCAGCAGCTGATTCCAGGAAGCCCGGGGCAGAGCAACTCT